TTTTTTTTTTTTTCAGTTTGCTTAACATACACGTAACGAACATAACGAATATCTCGAACGCTAATAATTTTTCTATTTCAAGTGTCAGAAACATGTGTACAATAATTCATTTAACAAATCCAAAAGTTCGAAGAATTGGAAATAAATCGGATAAGCAATAAGCGTTCAGAGAACTGAGATTAAATCGAATCAATAAGCAGTGAGTGTTCACACTGAACCGCAACCTCGATGATCTCGCAATGGACTCACTGTATTCACGGATTACACGGAGAAAATGTAGGTTCCTTGCATAATCTGACCTTTGATTCGGCTTTGAACGCGGCTTGTTTCAATGCAGCTTTCATTATTTAGAAAGGTCGTAAGACGAGCGAACGCGCAATGTGTATACGAATCGTAGAAGGTGGTCAATGCAGAAACGTTAATTACATAATTATTCGTATCACCTGGAATTCATTACCGTAGAGAAATTTTTCTGCAAATCAGCATAATACAATAAGTTGGCACGTTACAGAAGAAAAAATGGTGCTGAATGTATTGTCATACATTCAAAGATCAAGGATACCATGTATGAGTTAGTAATACGAGACTCAAGAGGCTACAAACCAATGAGAAAAACATTTGCATAAAGTATGTTTTTGCAGTGGTAAAGTAATAACATGTTTTTTTTCTTTTCTATATGATCTCACCTGCAACCATCAAAAGCATCGATCCCTTCGTCGATAAATCAATGAAAATGAAAGCAGAGAGCAAGAGCTGTATTATCTCTTCGCTCGGATATCTCGACAAGCATAAACTCTATCGTACCTTATAGAATCGATAGAGCAACGAAAACGAAAGTAATAGAACGTTTCGAGAGAAGAGGGAGGGGGAGAAGAAATTCGATCGATCATCCACTTAATGGAGTTTTATTTCGATCACGAAATCCAGCGGCGCCATCCCACGTTCATCGCGGTGTGTTCGTTGTATTCAAGGTATGCCTGACACGTTCGTGAATCCGAATCTCGTGTTTCTGCGGCCTATTCACAGCCGTAGACATAATCGTGGCGTGGCTGCATAACGGTAAAAACAGATCGGCGTGCATTCACTTTTCCCCGGGTGGAAACGGCGTGCAGTTTCTATCGCGTACGCCAGACGAAGACTGCTGCCGGGCATTGCAATACCTTTTAAAACTGACGAGTCATCGATCCACCACCCAGTCACCGTGTACAAATAACTCTAATGGAATTACCCTTTCCTTTCGGTGTTTCGCCCCGAGAATCGAGCCGATCTGCAGAATCAGCCGTGATCCGCGGCTCTCCTCGATTCGAGAGAGAGAGAGAGAGAGAGAAAACGATATGGTTCAATGAAATTTTAATCGCCACTGAATATGAACGTTATCGTCGAATATCTGGCTTTTGGGAAAAAATAAATTGCGATTAACTCTGCCGCTACGCTCTCAAATATCGAATAATAATGATCGTCCATCAGTTGCGTAAGCCATGCAGCAAGAATCAAATATAATCGAATATAGCATAATTTAGTTTTCCCTGAATTACGATATCCTGTTGGAATTGTAATTCGTAGAATTATATATTTATTTTTGTAATTTTAAATGTATCAAGTGTTTTATATCGTCGCTACGTTTGAAGCACTTTACCAGTTTTAAATAAATTAAAAAAAATATTTTAAACGAAATCATTTTCTTTTTTTTTTCCGAAAGACTGCTGTTAAAGCTAGGCTGATGATTGGACAGTTATATACGTATTTGTATGTACATGTATACGTAATTATATTCGTCATATCGTTTGTGATTTGTTTGAGTAAACATTACAAGTTGATAGTTCTGAAATTTAGAGAATCTTAAATGGTTCGTTGGTTTAATCTAGGAAATGAAATGTATCTTGCTAGAATTTATTTATTTTTTTTTTTTTAAGAAATTTCAAGATTATCGTGGAATAAAATCTGGTATCAATCGAGGGCCGTTCGCTAGAATTCCGAGCAAAACCGCGTAATTCGTTAAGTAAATATCCGGAATGCGTAGATGCCATCTAAACGAGTGGCGTCTATTAAAGTTGAAAAGTAGGTTAACATAAGCGGCTGAAGATGATTCAATGCTCAAGTGAAAGCTCCCTAACAACCGAAGCTGAATGCAAACCTTGTATACCACGGTGTATACCTACATACTTCCTTCTTTCATTCCATGTAATTATTCAAAGAATTCGAAATTCAAAATACTTTTATAAATTCAATTGGGAAAAGTTTCTTAAAAACATCATTCGTTAAAAACGATGATAAAAACACGAGGAGCCATATTGTATGAAGTTCTTCTTTTTGCCAAAATCGATCGAAAATAATTATAAAATCGTATCTAAAAATCGAAAGATCTTATATTTTTATTTTATATCATATGGTATCTTACTTTATATTATGATCTT